CGCTTCCCTGGCCGCTCCCTTGACCGCTGCCCTGGCCGCTTCCCTGGCCGCTTCCCTGGCCGCTTCCCTGGCCGCTTCCCTGGCCGCTTCCCTGGCCGCTTCCCTGGCCGCTTCCCTGGCCGCTTCCCTGGCCGCTTCCCTGGCCGCTTCCCTGGCCGCTTCCCTGGCCGCTTCCCTGGCCGCTTCCCTGGCCGCTTCCCTGGCCGCTTCCCTGGCCGCTTCCGTTACAACGGGGTTCACTGCATGCTCGGCCACTGGTGGTTGGGCAACATTTCTGTGTGGCAGGACACTGGCCATCATGGAAACACCTTTCAGCACACAGTGGAATGTTCTTTGGTTTGGGACATTGACCCGGCTTCACTGCATGGACACAGATAGTCAGCTTTAGTTTGTGCATATAGACAGTATGCCACTCCAATATACAGCACAAAAACACACAAAGCATGAACAAGTTGTACCTACAGAGCGTATTATATTCCAAATATTATTCCTCTATTTTGTAAAGCCATCCCGTGTTTAAAACTATATCCCAAGGCAGCGGTTCTCAATTCCAGTCCTCACGTACCCCCGCTCTGCATGTTTCGTATGTCGCTTTGTTAACGCGCCTGATTCAGATCATCATCTCGTTAGAAGTGAGCGCCGTGCATGAACTGTGTTCCGATTGACATGGTCCGTACACAGTGTCCATTGCTCCCTACTCCCTGAGCAGGGGAAATCCGTTGAAGTTTACTTCACTTCGGAATATTCATTTACAGATTTGCGCTGCGCCGCTGACTGCAGCGTCTTCACCGAGCGGCAACCTCCCGCTCTCTCTTTCGTGAAGCCAACAAGGAAGTGACTTAAACTGTAATTCGTCAACTGGCCGCTAGAGGCTGGCTGCAAAAGGGAGTCAATCCCATAGACTCCCCATGTTAAAATGCCTAACTTTACAGCAGAAAAAAACGTTTACAGCCTGGTTCAAAAAAAGATTTTGGTCTATATAGCTAATTTTGCCCTTCATGACAACTGTGAGGGGGATGAATTTTGTTATAACTCATCCGTTTAAATTATATGAAGCCTTAAAGTTCTGCATAATTAAGGGCGTGGCCACTTGTGCCCTTCAAACTGGAATCATGGAGGAATATCCGGTAATGTTCACTTCGCAGGGTCCACTTACAGTCAAATACAACAAACGTCTGAAGCAATAAGAGAAACATACAAAATGTGCAGAGCGGGGGTACGCGAGGACTGGAATTGAGAACCGCTGATATAGAACACTTGACTCTTGTGTTTTTTTGAATGGCTGTTTCTAACCAGCGCGCTGCATTTCGTTTAAAGAATGGCTGAAGAAGAGGATGATCCTGGTTTTGATGAGGATTTAGACGACGGAGGTAACGGGGTAGACTCAGGTCAAGGTAAAAGAAAGCGGCTTTTTTCCAAGGAGCTTCGCTGCATGATGTATGGGTTTGGAGACGACCAAAATCCCTACACCGAATCAGTGGATATACTGGAGGATCTGGTGATCGAGTTCATCACAGAGATGACACACAAGGCGATGTCCATAGGGCGCCAGGGTCGCGTGCAGGTGGAGGATATTGTCTTTCTCATCCGCAAGGACCCTAGAAAGTTTGCGAGAGTGAAGGACCTGCTCACTATGAACGAGGAGCTGAAGAAGGCTCGCAAAGCCTTTGACGAGGCAAATTATGGGTCTTGAAATAGGCCTTCGGTTGCTATGTTGTTCATGCAATCCATGAAAAGGGTCATTTTATTTTATTTTATAATGGAATTTTACCTGTTGTGAACCCTAGTCCACTTTTCTTACAGCCTTGTGTTTATTCAGTTGCTGGACAATTCACACTTCATGAGTGTTCATTGTGTGTGTGTTTAAGATTTTGTACAATAAAGAAAGATACGTTTGTTAAACGTTTAATGCAAGTTTTATTATTATTTTGAAAAGCATTTATGTGCACCTTAAAAATCAGAAGTAACATGGCTGTTTCTTAGAAAACATGTACAACAACCCTAGTAATATCCCTAATGAAAGTTTAGAATATAAACTATATAACGATGATATTTGTATCCTTTAAATGGACAGTTCAACCATCATATACTCACTCTCAAGTTGTTCCAAACCTGTATGACATAATTTTCAGTTTTTTCGACTATCCCTTTAATTGTTGTTTTTTTAATCCAGGGAGATACTTTTAAAATGGACCAGGTATCTTTTAAATTGTATTAATTTTTATTAATATTAATATATTTTGATGAAAAAAATATTACATTTTGTTGCAAATTGAAGGGTTAATGCAAGTATAAAATTAATTGCTTTGCTAAATTGTGCCTGATATAGCTGTGGGGGGGGGGGGGGG